TTATGATTACACTATTATAATTTATTATTATTATTATTATTCTTACAAAATTAATAATTTTAATACTATAAATATAAAAATATATGTAATTATTTTTTAACATATTTTTATTAATTATTTAATTTAAAATAACAACCATTAACTATCATATAACTAAACAATTATATTATTCAAATCTATTATTTATTATTTTTTATTTATTTTTTACTACTCATCATTTGCTATTTCTTAATCACTGCTTACTACTCCCTATTGCTATTCACTATTTATTACATATTATTCACTATTTATTAAATTTTAACCATTATACAAAACGGGGCTAAATATTGTTTTTGCGCAGCATACTTGGGCTGCACAATACGTTTTTTTTGTCATTAAATATTTTATTTGAGATATTTTCCAATGTTGCTGAGGGCTGCGTGAACCCGCAAGGTACCACCTGACGCGGTCTTGTCCGGCGATAATCGAAGCTACTAGAATATGGATGGGCTGGCCCAATATGCAGCTCCAGAAAGAAATCTCCTTAAAATAGGTTTCGATTGGGCTTATCCAGCCCAGAATTGAGAATAAATTAAAAAATAAAAATAAAAAGAAATAAACAAACGAACTGCAAGCCGATCTAGTCGGTCTGATTCCTTTCCTGGTTTAGCACTCCCAGTGCTTCACTGTGAATGGTCGGAGCCATCTGATCTGCAGAAGAAAGACAGTAATCGATCGGAAAACGGGCAGCCTCAGGAGCAATTACAGAGAAGCAAAATGGGAATTCTATTTACTCGGATGTTTTCTTCTCTCTTCGGCAACAAAGAAGCTCGAATCCTCGTCCTCGGCCTCGACAATGCCGGAAAAACCACCATTCTATGTACTTTCGACTCTTTCAAGTTGTTGTGCTGTTTAATATCACTAGATCTTCCGATTTTTCATCCGTTTCTTCCTCGTTCCTTTTGCAGATCGGCTTCAGATGGGTGAGGTGGTGTCTACGATTCCAAGTAGGTTTTTGAGTTACTCCTTTGTGGTTTCTGCTGTTTGGTTTTCTACAGCTTTCTGATTCACATTTTGGATTTGTTTGGATGTGGATGTAGCAATCGGGTTCAATGTGGAAACCGTACAATACAACAACATTAAGTTCCAAGTCTGGGATTTGGGTAAGTTGATGAATTTCAGTGAATTATAACCTATTCTCATGTATGCCGTTAACTGCTAAATTGCTAAATACAATTGAAAAGTAAAAGAAGGGGAGATAGGTGAATATGGGAAATGTCCATTTTTAGTTGTTTTTCTGCATTTGGTAATGGGAAGACTTGGGATCAGATGGCATGTCAATAGATCTGAATGTTAGATGAAAGCTTCAATGTATAAAGTCAAGTGTTAGCAGTTAAGAGCTTCATTTGATTCCACTGTTATGGAGATTGGCGTATTTGCCACTAATGTATGTTCAAACTAATGTTGGGTTTTAAGACCCGGGAAGTCCTTTTAATTTATCACCTGTTTGTAGTTAATTTTGTAAGAGATAAATATTTAGGGGTATTGCTCTTCCTCATGCAATCCTGTTTTTGTTTAAACCAATATTGTTTTAATTAGGTTCATATTTTTTGAAACAGGTGGGCAGACAAGCATCAGGTAACTATTTAGAGCCATTCTTGTATAGTTTTGTATGCATGTTACCAGCCTCATGTGTTCATGATTTATGTAGTGTTTGTGCGTGTAATGAGAGTGAGGCGAGTTGAGAATTGAGATAAGATATTTTCCTGCAGTTCTTATTTGTTATATAATTTTTGTGTGTGGAGTCTTGCTGATTATAGAAGAAAATTTTTGTGTCGCCAATAACTTTAACTGAAATGTAAGAATTATAAATCTCTTTCTCCCCTTTTTCCTTGGGGAGGGCCATTGTCTCTTATGTAGAATTGGCTACTTTTTGTCTTAATTAGTGCATTGTGTACCATTTCATTGTTTATTTCTGTATGTAATGCGAAATTAATAAACTAATCAAAAACTCCTCCCC